ACGAAAAGGTCTTCGGGGTTTGATAGACAGCGGAGTGACTCCAACGGCATGACACCAGTACAACATCAACCGTGGGATGCCTTTGATGAGGGGGAAGGGTTAGGGAAGCCAATCATTCTTCTGCCATTGAATCATTATGACCTTACCTTACATCGGTCAAGACTCCCTCCTTGGGTAATAAGGTATTACGCATATTGCTTTCCTCTTCACGCGGGGACGTGGATGATGACTTGAGGGGGGCAATCCTCTCATTACCTATGATGCAACGCCCACGCCTCCTACCACTTATAACGTGTCTCGTTCTGAGTGACTATACCCAAGTCACACAAACGAGCCCGACAACAGACCGATCAAACAGTTACGTTGCCCCCAATGACCGAAATTATGGTCGATCTTGAGTCGGTTTGGCTGTGTGACTGATGTATTAGTTCGTGAGAGGCAAGCTCCTTGTAACATGACCATTGGCGTCTTCGGTGAGATGATCGGACAAGAAAATATAAACACTGCTGTATTTGATAGGTTTTCCAAACAAACTGATCCTTACTTATTAAGTGGAAATAAAGGTCAGTTTGCAAACGCCATAGCTTAATGGACCACTACCTGAGGGCTTTTCTTTTCATACTGATTCTTGTATCCACTAACAATTAAAGGGAAGAACTTGATGCTTAATTATTAAAAAAGAGAATTCATCTGTTTCAACTACCTTGAAGAATCTGTCAAGAACTCTGCAGGTAGTGGGTCAGTTCTTGTTATATCAATACAAAATATTAGGGAAGCTTGGAAGGTGTGATTACCTACAAAGTTAAGCTAAGTAGGTGTTGTTTTCATTATTAATGATAATTCTACAGCGAACCGACCGTTAGCCCCAAGAATTTTCTTGGGAAAAGGTGTTAACCTTCACCGTACATGCAAACAACCCTGACTTCATTGCTGGCAAACAATATCTATCGTCAGTAATCTAGGTCATTAAAGGACTTTATTCCGTCCGGGAGAAATGGCACTTTTACGTCATTGTAAATTGGCCTAATCTGGAAAGCAACGCCTGCCCGAAACACCATTTCTTTCAACGATTCTTTATAAATCATAAGTTGAGAACGTATCACCAGTAAACTTAAATAAATGAATAAAATATCAGTAAGTGTCGGCTCGGGAGTGGCAGGCGGAAATGGTTCAGGCAGTGGACTAATCTTATTAATTTAAGCTCCGAAAAATAAATATTGATTTCCTGTGTTATATTTTACAAGATGACATACAATGCTTTTATAAGGTTTTTTTGTTGTATTAATCATGTCACAACTCTGTATTATATAATATCTAATTATATTATTTGAGTACCAAATAAAATACCACTTGAACAAAAAAATGGTATGTCGTTGTTACTGATTAAATGAAAATGTAACCTCGACGCCAACCATTTAGATAGCATGAAGATCAACTCTCCGATTCCCCCAAATCAAAGTATACATGTATTCACTTATTTTCAAAATTGTTAAGTGTAATGAATTATTAAGGCACAATCTTTTTAATCCCATTAAATTAAATCGTCATCTTAGTACCATTCTCGCTTTTCTCTCTTTTTTTCCTCTCAATTTGAATCAAAGCACTACGCACATTAACATTACCAAGCTATCTAGACCTGAGCTCAAACTTTCATATATATTATGCTAACGTATCACTTGTTTTATAAATCTTTACTCAGCAAAATTCAAGTAAATGATCGGAAGGATTTTGTCTCAAACCCAAAGATACTTCGGGTATTTCATTATGTTCGGACCATACGCCAAGACTGTAGGAAGTTTCTAACATGTTACTTCTATTATGTTCTCAAAAAAGCTGAGACCCCCCCCCCCCCCTCTTGTAAATTAGTACCCATCCCGACGAGACCCCCCTCTTGGAAATTAGTACCCATCCCGACAAGGTTCTGTTCTTCACACGTCCCCCTATCTTGATGTCAGACAAATTACCACCTCATCTTTACGCGGATGGGACCCGTCTTATTAATACCATGCAGACGATTCGAATCGGAAAGTCCAATCGAGTGTCTGCGGTCGTCTGATTCTAAGCTAATCTAAATCTATACTTGTGCTAAATTTATGTCCAATGCATCTCCTTGTAGGAAAACAAGTTATGAAGTTACGTGTAGGGCTTGGAAAAGCAATGGCAATCTCCTTCACCAGTTATAATAAGACACTTGAAATTTGAGGCATGTCTTTGGATTACGAAAGAATTGAAAGTGACGACGATATAGAATCGGGGTGAGAAATAGCTTCATCTGTTTGTTTTAATCTTTTGTTGATATAAAGTTGGTGATTTCTAGGCGCGAAATATTTCGTACTTTATACACATCAGCATTACCAAGAAAAGTATCATGATTGAGCTGCAATTCATGTACCTTACACTGCCTCTCGCATGTTTGGTTCCACATGCATTTGACAGTACTTTAGTGGAATACGTCATCCTCTCTTGAAAATTCATTCTCCATCACAGACTGCGAGTATCCGTCCTTCACCGGTTTCCCCTCGCTTGCTGTCTGATATATTGCCACCTCATCTCTGCATGGATGGGACCCGTCTAATTGATACTCAGACGATTCGAATACAAGGAGCGTTCCAGATCGGAAAGACCAATCGAGTGTCTCGGGTCGTCTGCTTCGGTTTCAGGAAGTGAGAGAGATATTCCGAAATTGTTCAAGTACCTGCTCGAATGAGCCGCCACTTACACCTGAACTATGACGTCGTAGATGCAAGCTCATGTGTGCTTGCTTCAATGTGCCCCAGTGCGATGGTGATGATGACCACGACGATGACGACTATAACGATCATGATTAATATATTACAAATTCCTCAAGTAAATGGTCAGCTGACCTATTGGATGAACTTTAAGTGAACTCTGACATTAACGGATATAAGCCTACGTGCGTGCCTCTGCTTGAAGGAAGGCGATTGCGATGATGACCAAGAAAAACGATGACGACGATAATCATAGCCAGGCTGACATGGTTCTATTTACCTTGGGATAGCCTTATCAGTGTTAAATATACTCTACCCTATAATTATTATTGTAAGTCTGGCGGTAATTATGTGGTAATAAAAGGGGATAAACTGGACATTCTGGTTTGTGTCTCTACAGTTTGATACAAAAGAACGACTCTTATTAATAGAGTATACCCGACATGATAACAACAACAAACTTTGGAAATGTTATGCAACTATCGGATAAGTTTTGTACAATTATTAATGATCCTTCAATTAACAATTTGACAATAAATTACCCAGTGGAGTTAAAATAGTATAGTCAAATCTTTACCCGGTATTTTCAAGATGTAAAATCAAGCGTAAAAAATGAGCATCGCCTTGAAACACGACTTTCAATTTTCACTTTAAAGTGCCAATGAATCTCTCTAAAAATTGAATTTGTACTAATATTGCAAAGGTGAATACATGAATTACAATTGTAACAAGTCATTACAATCTCAGGTCCGAATTCCTTCTCAAAGATTGGAAAGTCTTGAGCTCTTACCCAAGAGCTGGTGAAGGAGAGGTATAGGCGGGTTTGGTTTCCATATCCTTTGATTAAAATAAGAGCCAAAGAAACGAGCCCGAGACAAGGCGGAAAGAGCCGAAGATGGCCCGGAAATGATAATTGATTGGGAGAAGCTCTCCTTACTTTCACATGCATATTATTCAACCACAGTTGTATCGCTAATGGAAACCAGAGAGCGGGGATACAACGAGCACAAATATTTCTCCAGGCATACCTCCACCCCTTTTCTTTTCCTCTGCCATATTTGACGTCTAAAAACAAATGCCCGTAATTGTGCGCTTTTAACAATTACTGCAAATGAACTCGCCTTGGGCTTAATGAAATGCTTTCCTCTGACAAACCGTATATTGGACTTCACCTAAGCAACAAGGAGGCATAGACTAGATATTGTGAAGGTAGCGGGGAAGGGCTGCTGATTAAGGAGAAGTAAACACAAAAAGGAAGAAAAGTCAATTTTGAACATTGCACAAGCTCCCGGCCAATTGACTTTTACGTACCCTGCTTTCAACCCTTTTAGATATTTATGTCAATGTAGGAAAAACAATTGTTAGGCGAAAGAGAGGCATGGAATGGGAACTGTAACACGTGGAAGGAGTAATTCACATTGACAAACTAAGGGAATATAAACATCTTGTGGGCTTTGCATTGCACAATATTGAGATAGATATGTTTGGTAGTTGTTTTGAATGGATCCATCTTTCTCATGGGGTAGAGAGGCTCTTGAAAGTTTATTTACTTAACGAGCATATTGGAATCATGAGAGGAAACGAAGAATGTAAATAACCTGAGAGAAGCAAACTTCGAAAGGCTCATGCTTAAAATAGAGACGGGTAGAAAAGAGTATGCATGATTTCTCAAGTAAGGATTGATTCTGAAGACATTCAAGAGAGAATGGGAGAAACAAGAGAGCGAGAGAAAGAGGGGGGGGGGGGGGGGGTTGGGGAGGAGAGAAGAGACAGGGCGACAAGGGGAGGTCAGAATGGATGGAGAGACAGCGGGTAGGGAGGGAGGATGAATGAAATACGAAACACCATAATGCCAAAGTCAGAGTTTCTTAGATTGGCCCAAAGGACGTTAATCATTCTGCTCACAGTATCCGCTTGTCTCAAGTAGATGTGAACTTAGTACAAACTCAATCCATCCTATCTCTAAAATGCATGTCAACCAGGGAAGAACTGGTATACCTACAGGGTGATAGGGGATTCCTTTTCCCAGCGCGATCGTGGGTTTGACCCCTGCTGTTTATACGAAGTGTCAGTAGTTGACGTAAGACTCCGTCAGCGACTGTCGTCTTTGACACACTATATGGAAGTGAATGAAGGCAAATGAACAGTACAACCAATGCATTAGATTTCTAACGAATGCACTGATTGCCTGGAAGGACACGCTTCGTGTGCATCGAATACAATTAACAGAACTAAGGAGCTAAGTTAGTCCCGAGGGACAGGAGTGCTCACCTTGACGTCTCTGAACTGAAAGGTGAAGATGAAGAGGGGTATCATGGCCACGATGGTCAGGCACTGGATGACCAGGAACGTGATCCGCAGCGCCCAGTTGAAGGTGAATATACAGGACCGGTCATCTGTACACTCCGAACAGCCTTCACCGCATCGCTTGCAGATCAGCTGGTCGTAGATGTTCTCTCGTCCGGCTATCTTCAGGTCATGCTGTTCTTCCAGGATGGTGCCGTTGTAGTAGTTCTCCCCGTTGTTCGGTTGGGGGAAGTAGAAGCCCTTCTTACATACGCACTGGTAGGACCCGCGACGGAAACCCAGGTTCTCAATGAAGACACACTGTTGGAGACAATTTGCAAATAAATAAAATGGTTAAGTGTGGTATTAGTAATAATAATGATACTATGATGATGATGATGATGACTGCTACAACATTAACACAAAAACCACACCGACACCAACACCAGCACTATTTCTTCTACTACTACTACTACTACTACTACTACTACTACTACTACTACTCATACTACTTATAATAATAGCAGAAGAAGAAGAAGAAGAAATTGAAGAAGAAGAAGGAGAATAATGAGAATAAGAAAGAGGACACAAAGAAGAAGAAAGGATATTTAATTATAATATTATTCATTATCATTATCATAATGTATTTGGCGTCACTTGTACCTGGGAGGGGAAAGGCGAACTTTTACAAATATAATCACCGTAACCTTCTGGTCTCTATCCATGTAAGTATGGGAAGATATAAGTCTCTAATCTGAGAACAAAACTGAAGCTTAATTTCAACACATCGAACATGTGACATTAAGGATTTACAGTTCTTGGAAACTGAGCAACCGTAAAGTACACGGTAATTGAGGAAGGTAATCTTGATAAGTCGTTTTTATTGCAAAGCGACATCGAACGACAGTGCATTCAATCACCTACTTCGTGGCTCTGCACCAAGCAGAGCAACGTGTTAATAGTGTAAATGTTTACGTTTAAAGCTCATGTTGGCAATAAATCTCATAAAAATAGGGTGATATAAAAGGTAAATATCTAACAAATCAAAGGTATTTTCTCCCGAACCATTCCTAGAAATCTAGCATTAAACGATTGCAATTACATGGACCTCAAAATGAAACAGGATGAACAGGTAGGAGGAAAAAAAAAGGAAAAGAAGAAGGAGAAGAAGAAGGGAAAAAATAAAGCATATCCTAGACACTTTCTCTTTTGCAGGCATGGTCTGGGTGGAATATCTTTAAAGGGGAAGTCCACCCTGACATTAAGTTTGTTTAAATTCAAGCATAAAAATGAGAGGAACAGGTCAGTCAAAGTTTAAGCAAAATCTGATGAAAAATAGAAAAGTTATTATTTGTTCAAGATGCGATCAATCAAACAATTTGCAAATCTGCGACGTTTCTCAAGTTCAGAGGTTCCCTTCCAATTGCCCTGTACTAAAAAAAAACACATTAAAAAAACACATAATTCCCCCCCCCCCCAACGAAAACGTTCAATCACATAAAGTTCATGGAAATTTCTGTACAGAGTTAATTGAAGAGAACCTCGCAAGATACGTCACAGTGTTGACCAATTGTGTTTCTCTGATGACAGTTTTAAAGATTCACAACTTTTCCACTTCTAACCGGGTATTGCTAAACTTCTCACTAATTTTTTACTTGTTTTTCTGCGGGTGTATTTTCCCTTTAATGCGGTGGACAGAATAATTGACATCGTTTTGAAAGTTGTTTTGCATCAAAGTTTGTGATTGTAGCTTAGATAAACATGAATTTCATCCTTTTGCACTTTTGAATTCTCAAGAGCTGAGCAGCGATTCAGATAGAATGACGGATCAACAATATGATGTCCCAAGAGATTAAGACTATGGTGGATCATATTTATCAGATAGCAAACAGTGAACCTGTTAGTCCCATCTTGAATTACAGCTGTCTTATTATCGTTACATTTCATTTATCAAGTGTTTTTATAATTCGTTGCTCCTGATATTGTGTTGTCAACATATCATACGAATCTTTGTTTTTCTCTTTAATAGTAAAAAGAGAGTATTGAAATGCCATGTATCACGGTATCACGGTGTTTTTTTTACAAAGTTTGATACATAATCAATGATTGTATTTTAAACGTAAAAATATAACAAAGTAGTTCAAATACAATGAAAAAACACGTAACATTATATGAACTTGGAACAGAAAAAAAGAAGAAGTAAAGGGAAAAGAAAAAACAGTGACGCGAGAAGAAGAAAAAAAGAAGAAGAAGAAGAAGAAGAAGAAGAAGGAGAAGGACGATAAAGGATATTCAGTAATAGAAGTATATGTCACTTTCTTTCTAAGTGTAAAATATCCGATATCCTCTTGTTTATTGTGCAGTAATTGTTACGCGGCAGCTTTAAAATAAGAAAGGTTACTGAGAGTTATTTTTCAACCGTTTGTCGCCCCCTCTTGGGTGTAGAAATGCATCCTCTGCTTTGCTGTCGCGTTCGAGCAGCAAAGCACAAAGTACTCATGACAGGTGTGTTCATATGACTGTTTATACTCTTTTGTTTTGTAGTTTTGAATCGTCATGCTGGTCGATTGCTGTATGATGTCATCTCTAGGTATCTGTATTTTGACGATGCACTGTTCAATCTTACTTGGTTTGCTTAATCATTTTTTTCATATTGAGATGAGAGTACATGCATAAAGGAGGATGATCAGCACCAAGTGCGTACCATGGACCAATGATTGAGCGGGGGGGGGGGGGGGGGTGGCGCACCCGTCTTCCTAAGATGATGACATGTAAGAGAACGATGCAATCTAGAGAGAGGATAATGATGGATGGGATCGTTTCATTATTTCAAGTTATTCCCCCCCCCCCCCCCCCCACTCCCCCTCTCTCTCCTTTTCTTTCGCTACCGCTCTGCTATTCCACCCTCTTTTTTTTCACCATTAGATTGGGAGGGGACACCTTATCCCTCCCCATATCTACCCTACTGATGATCACATCAAGTTGTTGCCCTGTATTGCCAAGAACTTCAAGAACACAAGAGGTATCATTAATGTTCACTTACCCTACATAAGGGGGCAAAATGAGGCCACATGTCTTCATGTTCTAGATATCAATAGCTCCCAGAGGAACGCAATATTTTTACTTTCCGTTCCTATTCCTTCTTATTGTAAACAAATATGATCAGACACAGTATCATATGACATTGGTGTGGCGAGACTCTGCACGTTTTGTTGGTTTAGTTTTATAGACATTAACCAATACTTCATATTTACATAAAGCTTGTGACGAAATTCTGTTCTTCAACATTCATGCGTTGTCGTTGTTTTAGTTTTAATAGCGCGTATCGTTCAGTGGTGAATATTTACGCCAAAATCTATTCGCATTATTAAACCAAAAGTCAGAGGAAAAAAGAAAAAGCAATTCTATGCTGCATTTTTTTTGTTGCAACCAATATCGATGTTAGCCTCAACAAATGCATTCTCTTTCATTTGAACATGCCTGGCGAGGAAATGTGTAAGCACTTCAGCCAGCAAGTGAATATGCCCTTTTTTCTGAAAACGTTGAAATGTTTCGAACAATAATAGATCGCGAGGGCATCAATAATTGGCCAAGAAAAAACCACATTCCCTTGCTATTCGAGAACTGCTAGAAAGAACATGAATGAGGCTGAGAATTTGTTACAACACAGACAGAGAGAGAGAGAGAGAGAGAGGGAGATTGAGAGAGAGAAAGAGAGAGAGAGAGAGAGAGGGGGAGAGAGAGAAAAGAGAGAGAGAGAGAGAGGGAGGGAGAGGGAGAGAAAGAGAGAGAGAGAGAGAGAGAGAGAGAGAGAGGGAGAGAGAGAGAGAGAGAGAGAGAGAGAGAGAGAGGGGGAGCGAGAGGAGAAGAAGAAGGGCCAGAGACATACTACTGTTTTCTTTTCTACAGAAATCGATTACTCCAATCACCTAGTTCTACTTTAATAAGCCAAAATCAAATTTTCAACGGTCGCATGCACGCTCTCTATATGTACACAGGCCGTTAGTTATTCTAGCTTTGCTTAGGGCAACGAGAGTGAAACATTCCCGTTAGAATACAAATACAATACATATGATACAAAAAGGAAATGGATGCAAAAACCAATAGTTACTTTCTTCACATTCAACAAAACATCAAGGCACCTGTCGATTATATTGGCGTCAATTACTTTAACAAATCAATTAAATTATTTTGTTAAGAGAAAACGTACGAGGTTAATTGACCTGAATTATGATTTATCGATTTATCAAGAGCGGCTAGAGTATGTTAATGATTCACAGTATTCATTTTCACGTACATGAAACATGATTTTGATTTTTTTATGGAATTCGACGGGTGCTGTAAAGTAGAATGATAATGTGTACTGTTGTATCATTAAAATAATTGCAAAGACTTTCGAAAAATCAACCTGAAGACATTTCAAAATCCCTATCACCTACTGAATAATGCGAACATTACAACGATATAATTAAGACATGATTTCTATGAGATGTAGTTAACAGCTGAATTAATAATATCCCTTGTAAAGTTAATTTTGTTCATGTGTTGGTCAATACTCATTGACGAAAGGCGGACCGGTTGAATTAGGGCCATTCTTGAATATTTTTAGATGTTGGCTTTAATATGTCACATTATCAATGTAAATGAATTGGGAAAAATCAATTTGTCATATATTCAAAACATTACAAAACTTGGTATGGGTATGATTAATTTAGTTGTTAACTGTTTACAGTTGGGCGTTGACATTACCCTTGACTTAATTTCTAGAAAGTTTTTGCGATCGAGTTCATTGCGATTTCACCGCATACGTGAATGTCATCTTGTGTGGTTCGCCAACTGTTTTTACTTCTTTTGCTCTCTCACTCTCTTTCTGATGTGCCGACGGCTTTCAAGAAGCCCAGCATCCGATCACATGCGACAGCATGATTGAATCAAATTTACCGCATAACTCATCCAGCCAAGGTGGAACGTAATCAAACCATATAAAACCGCATCTCACCATCGCTCACATCACCATCACGAATCCACCGCCCCCAAATCAATCGTTGTATATATTCCCTTTATTTACTGCCATTCCTTTCCAAACTATAAAAAGAAGTCTCATTGATCATTTAGCCCCCGAAGGGCAGTTTTTCTTTTGACAGAGTTCGACGAAGTCGGTGGCGATGACCTCAAAATGCTATCAAGCTTAGCGTCGGCATCGGCGGTACTATTGTTATATACAATATGTCATTTTACTACAAGCTGTCATTTTAGGCAATGGAGATGTAATAAAGCAGACTTATTCGTATATATTTTATTTTTTGCTTCAAAACACGACA